ACCTGAGCACAACCAAACAGAACACTCCCCCAGCCAATCAGAGCACAGCCAAGCCCCTAACCAATCAGAACACACCTCCACCCAATCAGAACACAGCCAAGCTCCCACCCAATCAGTTCATACCCCCACTGGCAGTTAAAAGGAAGAAACAGCTAAGACCACACATTGCTGCTCGAAGCACGAAGCTGAAAACACCAGCCTGAAGATGACGAAATGGGACTTCGTCGAAACGTCGCCAAGACACTTCCAATTTTACGCGGGAGAAAACCCGAACAACCAAAGACCTACATACATACATATATATATATATATAATATATATATATATATATATATATATGTCTTTGGTTATTTGGGTTTTCTCCCGCGTCAAATTGGAAGTGTCTTGGCGACGTTTCGACGAAGTCCCATTTTGTCATCTTCAGGCTGGTGTTTTCAGCTTCGTGCTTCGAGCACGAAGTTTTCAGCTTCATGCTTCATGCTTGATCCTCGAAGCACGAAGCTGAAAACACCAGCCTGAAGATGACGAATGGGACTTCGTCGAAACGTCGCCAAGACACTTCCAATTTGACGCGGGAGAGAATATATATATATATATATATATATCCCAATAGTCTTAAAAATAATAATCACATCAATATAATATCATAGATCTTGTTACAGTCCTTATTTTAATTTGTTTCCCCCACCAAATTCTAGATATTCTTACAGGTTAAGATTTTCTCAAAAATTAATTACATTTAAAAATTTAATTTTATTTTTCCATATGAACCATCTCATACTTAAGGTACATTTTTTAAGGAACAGATAAAACAGTAGAAAAAAAGAAAGAAAAGCAAGAATAAAGAAGCATAAAAAATAATATACTACTTAAAATATATATCCCTCCTGAGCTAGTATGTATTTATTTCCTAAATTTCTTATTCTTTTTAACCATAATTAAAAATATGTTTAATCTTCAAACATTCCATTTAATACATCTAGTCATCTAGTCCTTTAACTCTTATTCAAAACACTTTTTATCCATAATAATTTTCTTAAATTCAATCACATTTAAATATCTAAACCATTTCCTTTATCTAAGTCATTTCAACTTTTTTATATTACTCATATCAAGAAAGAGAACAAAAAAGGGAAAAAAGCATACTATATTATATTTAGATAATTCATCCCTATTAGAGTGACATATATATTCCAAAACTTTTCTATTTCTTTAACCATTTTCAAACAAATGTTTCTTTTTTAAGTATTCTCTCTGGTAAGTCCCATCATCTATTTTCTTATTTTCCACTTTAGTCTTTTTCTCTTGCCCAGTATCTTTCTTAATCAGTGTATTTTGCTGAATCAAAAAGTTTTCCCGTATGTTCATAAATGTTGCTGTAGATATAAAAAGTAAATCAAGAGAAGTGTCTTTGTACAGGACTTTTGCTTTTCCAAGTTTGTTGACAATCTTTTTCTTTCTCTCCGCTTCTCTTATCATTTCCTTTCTTCTCTCCGATGTTCCTGACATCTCTACAGTCCATTTTATCCAATCTCTTTTCTTGTCATCAGATTTATTTTGTAGTCTTAAGGGATAAGTTGTTTTTTCCAATTCTTGTGATTAAATCATGTTTCCTTGTTTTGTTAATTTCCATCTTTAAGTCTCTATTCTCAATTCTATATCCATTTATCTGTTTTATCTGCTCCTTCTCTGTTGTTGTTTTCTGGGAATTTTTTTGTTGCAGAGTTAACTTGGAAAAATATTGATTTATATTTTCAAAGTTGTTTTGGATTTCTTTGTGGTTTAAAGTCATTGTTGTTTGAATTAGTTGCAGTATACTATATATCTCCTCCTGTGAAGTATTTATGTTTTCTTGATACATTCTTTCTACATGTCTCTGATCCATGATAGCCAAGAATTTGAGTTTTCCTCTTCCTTTTTTTCTCTGCAAATAGCTTTAGAGTGCCAATTAGACAGATATTTGTAAGCCAAATAGTTCAAAAAAGATTTTTTTTTCCTGAAATTTATAATTCTCTCTTTGTCTACAGTCCAGATTATTGTCTTTTTTTTTGTCACAACTTTTCTTTGTGGTTAAAGCTTTGAAGGCCACAGACACAGATTAGCTTTTCCCAGATTTTGCCAAGTCTTATATTAAAGTCATAGCTGTCATAGTCTTCATCTGCCACGAGGTGTCAGCAACTATTTGTTTTTCAATTTCCAAAATGAACAATTATCTTTAAAATGAGAGTCTTAACTATTCAAACAATTTTAGATTTATTCAAATTTAAGTTTTATTTCAGGTTTTATATTTATTTCACTTTCATATATTTTGATCCTCCATAAAAAGATTAATTCTCTGCTTCCGTTAGTATAAGGGTGGGGCGGAAATCCCCCTCCTTCCCTTTTGGACGTATTTGCTTCTTGGAGATCTTTTCCAGGAAATTAAATGTAAAATAGAAAAGAGAAGATCGAATTCCTCACCCAGTTTCAAGCACACTGTTCACAGTTATGGTGGTTAGTGCTTTTGAACTTCAGTTCCTAGTAGCTTGGGGTGGTCGATGCAATATGGCCAGCCTTTCTCCTGTTGGGTTAGAAGGCTTTCCCCAAGTTGAACGGAATGGCCACCGCTGTTCCAGAATCGCTGGAGCACTCTTCTTTCTTCGTCGCTTCTCTAAGGTGACTTAGACCCATTTAGGATCCCCTGGAAGGATGAAATTAGCCGTGGGGATGTGGAGAATCCGCAAGCCCGTGACCTGTCACTACTGCGCAAAACTGGATGTCTCCAACATGTCCTTTTCCTGATAGCTCTTTCTCAGACACATAATTAATTTTAACAACTCTGATATAACAGGAAATAAAAATAAACCTTGGTAAACTATTCAATATGTCACTTTGGTTAATCTGCTTATCTTTTCTGCCTTAGATGGTCTCATGCTGCAGATGATCTTCAGAATACTTACGATAATTTGACAGGAGATGTTCTGGTATCAGCAGGGGTGATAGCTTACCTTGGTGCTTTTACTGCTGGATTTCGACAAGAATGTACTAAAGAGTGGAGCAAACTCTGTCAGGTATTATTAGTTTACTGCTCTATTTCTAGAATACACATGGTCTTCTTCTAACAATGACTCTGTCAAAATAGATCATATATATCTTGTTATTAGCATGATGGAAATAATTTTAACATGCATTATGATTTTTAATACTATACATCATAATGGAAACAATAGTTAAATCCAGTGTGGGATTAAAATATGTGAACAACCGGTTCTCTGTGTGAATGCCGCTTCCAGAAGTCCATTCTGGGCCTGGGCAACAAAAAATTAGCTACCGGTTCTGCCGAAGTGGTGTGAACTGGCTGAATCCCACCATTGGTTAAATCTGTATTTAAAATAGTATAGAAGAGTCTAAAAGTGAAATGCTTTTCTAAATCTTGCTTTAAGTATAGGAACTTTTCCTGGTATTGCCTATTAACCTTTCCTATGTAATTTCTCTTGACTCTTAAAAATGAGAGTAATTCAATATGACCTATTTTAATACTATATGTACACATGTTTAATAATAATGAATATCAATACAAGCTTTATTTGTGCCTACAGGTAAAAAATATTCCTTGTTCTGAAAGCTTCTCCCTAAGCAAGACCCTTGGTGATCCAATAAAAATTAGAGCCTGGAATATTGCCGGTCTTCCAACAGATCAGTTTTCCATAGATAACGGTGTGATTGTTGACAATTCTAGACGTTGGTAGGTAACTAGCATTATTTAAAATTAAGCTATTGAAGCATTCATATTGATAGTTTTAAACCTCTGGTTATGTTTTTTTTGTTTTCTATATGTATTGTTGAATATATATAGTTACATTCAAATACATATTTATCTATATAAAATTTTAACTATTCCTTCAGGATAGGGAGGAATCTGATTTTTTTTTCTTGGATGTAAAAAGATAAATGAGAGCTAGTTTGGTGTCGAGGTTAAGTCACTAGCTGGAAATCAGGAGACTAGTTCTAGTCTTCTCTTAGGCATGAAGCCACTTGGTAACTTTGGACCAGTCATTCTCTCTGAACTACAGGGACTCATGTAAGCAGTTGCCAGGAGTCAAGACTGACTTGAAGGCATATTTACATATTCAAAACAATAGCTGCCTGAAGCAATAAATCTGCAGTACTAAGTAAATTTTTTAACTGTAATGAAACTGTTCTATACTATTTAATATTATTTAAGTATATATAATAGATAAAGTATAATTCTTGATTATTGATTCAGTGATATCAGAATCCATTATTTTGTGAAATTCATTGATTGTTGTTGACACCTTTCTATCGATTTTCAAAGTCATCTCCTAGGACAAATGTTTATTTGTTTATTTGTTATTTAAACATTTTTAAAAAATAGTACTAAAACCATTTTTGAGTATTTAAACTGAAATTATTAGAATTATTAATATTTGGTGCTATTTTGTAGGCCATTAATGATTGATCCCCAAGGTCAAGCAAATAAATGGATAAAACATTCCGAGAAAGAGAACAGACTGAGTGTCATAAAATTTACTGACTCAGACTACATGAGAACTCTAGAAAACTGCATTCAGTTTGGAACTCCTCTTCTGCTTGAAAATGTTGGAGAAGAGATAGATCCTTCCTTGGAACCTTTGCTACTTAGGCAAACTTTTAAACAAGGTACAAGAAATAATAAAAGTTATTAAAATTCAAAGGAAATGTTTACTGTTTTTTAAATAGTCCATTACACTGTTTAATGTGTTTCTTTTTATTCCTCAAATATTGCTGCCTAGTAACAGATGAAGGTAATGCAGTTTTTTAGTACTGTTATTTTTATTTTATAATCAAATTTGCATGCATTGCAGATTTAAATCCAAGAACCTTAATCTGCTGTTATTTAATAAGAGCCATGTTGCACGTATAATATTGATTAATAATTTCTTGTCTGTTTTTGCTTTCCAACATTCAGGCAAAGGGAGTTGGAAAATAAAAGCAGACGATATGTTTCCTTGTAAGGAAGATAGAATGTCCATTATAAGTAGGACTTTGATAGGTGCAATTGTTCTGGCTTCTATACAATTCTTCCCTTCCATTCAGCTTTTATTGTTTCTTCAATTTGTTCAGTTTTTGTATCAGGTTACAGAAAAGTCTGTGCTAAAAAGATATGAAATTATGGGCTAAGCATAGACTAGTAAGTATATAATCTATTGGTTCCAAAGAGGCAGAAGAGCAGAGTCACTTCAATCAGAATAGCTCAGGATGCTTTTTCTCCCCTGTATGTAGACATAAACTTTGAAAGAAATTGTATGTATACTAGCTAAAGAGATGAAACCATTGGGTTTCTATACTAGGCTTCAACATTATTCAAAAGGCAGTAAAGTGAGTTTTAATAATGTGTGAATAAAAAAAAAGAAATTGGTGTTAAAATAACATTAACAGACATCTCTGATAACTCTAATTCCTAGCTTTAATGGTCCCCAACATTTGCCCTCTGAAATTTGAACACATGGGGATTGCATGTGTTGCAATGTGTTGCAATATCTTCAATGCAGATATTCCCATGGTGTGAGTAGAAGGCAATTAAATCCAAGAAGGGACCAATAGTGTTAGCAAGACAAATCTAAATAAGTACAAAGGTTTATTTTATTTGGATGGAGGTAAGACAAGGCAAAGATGTGCCAGGGATTAATTGAATGGAAGAGGAATTGTCACGAGGTACAAGATCGTCACAGAAGCAGGAGATGACATACTTGACCAAAATGCAAAAACAAAGGTTTATCAGAGTAAGTGTTACAAATTATAAACCTAATGTAGAGGTTCCCAAATTTTCCTGATTCACAGGGCTTCTAGCAGTTCTCACACTATGTGCTGTGATGCGCTAGGACCCATGGCCCACAGTTTGGGATTTGCAGACCTAAGAAATAAAATCAAGGGGGACAAGAAAAAAAAACACAACATGAATTTCTTATTAACTTTCAGTTTGTAACATTTTGCTGACTTGAGCAAGCACAAATCTATCTATATTTGGGGTCTTTATGGATGTCTCTATTAGCAACCTTGGGACTTCAATACTATTCTTTTATTTTCTTTTGTTTTATTTTAAAATGCTATTTTAAGACTAGTTGTGCAGGAGAGAAATGGAACCAGTGTTACATGAATCCAGGGTATCCCTAACTATCACTGAACGTGATATCTGAATAGAGTTATAGTCTCTTTAACTATCATATGTGTAATTTATTTTACATTATTAAACTGCTAAGCTTGCTGCCAGTTAAAGGCTGTTGCTGTAAAAAACAAATACTTTTTTTTCTTTAACACCAGGGGGCATGGATTGCATTCGACTTGGTGAAACAATAATTGAATATTCTTTTGATTTCAAATTTTATATTACCACCAAATTAAGGAATCCACATTATTTACCTGAATTAGCAACAAAGGTTTCTTTGCTAAATTTCATGATTACTCCAGAAGGACTAGAAGATCAACTTTTAGGCATTGTTGTTGCCAAGGAAAGGTAAGTGTTTGAGCTTTCCTCAGGAGATTTAATTCATAAATCAAATTCAATTTCATTCTAATTCAGGAAAGAATTATTGAACATGCATGCATACATATAAGCATATACATGAACATATGCACATGCATGGATAATTAAATAATAGGTACAGACTTTTCAGAGAGACCAAATTTAATTTTTTAAATTAAAAAATAAGGGAAGTGGGTATTAACTTGTGAGCTGAAGTGTGCATTCTTCTTGTACAATAATAAGTATGAGGTAATAGAAGAAATCTTTGTCAATGTTCTGTATTTGGAATACTAAGGTGATTGGAAACAGCAGACTGCAATGTATTGAAGCTATGATAATATGTCCCTTGCAATTGCCTGTATGCCAGTATGGAGCCTGTCCTAACTTTGATAGCTTGATTGAACTAAATGGCATATGAAAGAACATGCACGAGTCTACTAATAGTTTTATAGACTCATTTAATCCAATAATAAAGATCAAAAGAGAATATTTTACATTGTATAAATGTTTAAAAGAAATATTTAAACATAATTGTGGCCAACAAACTTGACATAAAAAGAACAAAAGAATCTAAAAAAACAAAACAACCCACTAACAAAAAAGGGTATTTGTCATTTTAGGCCAGAATTAGAGGAAGAACGAAATGCTCTTATCCTTCAGTCAGCTGCCAATAAGAAACAACTAAAAGATATAGAAAATAAAATTTTAGAAACACTGCAGTCTTCTGAAGGTAATATTTTAGAAGATGAAAGTGCAATTACTATCTTGGACTCGGCAAAAATAATGTCTAATGAAATTACAAAGAAGCAGCAGGTAAGCAACTTCAGATTTTGCAATAATAGCTATAAATAATGATTAATGTGTTGATCCCAAAGCCAAACACACCCCTAGTGGTGCATAGCAATGCTGCAACAGTAGCATTCTGTGTGCAATTAAGCCAGCCAGTCATTTAAAATTATGGCATATTTTTTCAAAACAATTGCACTTTGATCACTTGCACCAGCTGGCCAATTTATATTTTGTTTATCTTAATCTACTCTATTTCTCTGTCCTTTCCCACAGGGTTATAATATATGGGCTGCAAAATCAGATGACCAGTAAATATTCCCAAGACTTTCTGTAGTTCAGATATGATAATTAGCCTCTTGCTATCTCATAGCAAGAATAGATGCAAGAAAATATGACTTTGTTGGTCTCCAAGGAGTCTGCATAGTAGCCAGGAATATTGCTCTGGTGGGAAGAAAGTGGGAAGGGTCAAAGAAATGATGACAACAGAAGCAAACTTTCAAGCCTGTTTTCTTTTTCTTGGTGGCCAAACTCTGTGTGTGTCTGTCTGTGTGTGTCTGTGTGCGCATGTGTGCTCACTCTCGCATGTGCGTAGGAGATATGGAGGTGAGCAACAGAAAATAAATTTGTGTATACAGAAAATAAATGTGTGTGATGAGGAGAATGCTGTCTTTTCTTTTGTTATTTTTGCCCTCACATTGAGTCACTGGGTCCCTTGTTTAGGGTATTTCAATTATCACTCTATCTGCAATAATTAGGGAAGTATTTTGTGGCACACTGATTATAATTTGAAATTATATATGCTGGTAATTTTTTTCCCTGGAGACCCAGTCTGGTGTAGTGGTTAAGGCACCAGGCTAGAAATTGTGAGATCATGAGTTCTAGTTCTGCCGTAGGTCAACTGGGTGACCTTGGGCCAGTCAGGCTCTCTTAACCTTGGTCAGGATACAAAGCCAAACCACTTCTGAAAAATCTTGCCAAGAAAAATGCAGTGACTAGTCCAGACAGTCTTTAAGAATCAGATATGTAAGGGGGGGAAAACATCAATGCTTAGAATCAAGCATAAGGGACTTAATATGAATCAAAAGTTTCCCTCCAACATGTCTCTTCTCTATGCCTACTTATTGAACTGGACTCTATCCTTAATGTTAATATCGGCATTTCAACTAATAGGGTGGTTGTGGAGAATTGTATTGGAATTGTCATTCTAAAAATTTGCAATGTGCTGTCACATTATCAACTTGGATAACGGAAGGAAAGAAAAGATGGAAAGATGAAAAAAAAAACATTTTGTTTTGAATCTCCTGTCACTGCCACCCTTTCCCAATTACAAGCACCTACTAAAAGGAAGTGCTTTTAGGAGTCAGGGAAGCTGCTTTTCTGAAAAGAATATCTAAGTGGTTGTCCATCTCTATTTAAATAGTTTCCCTCTTTGATTGAACTGTTTTTTATCTTTGAACTATCTCTTTGGCTTTTAGCTTTAAGCGTCAAAAGATACCGATGTAGTCAGATTTACAAATATGCTAGCATAAAATAGTCTAGAACATTTGTAATATACTGGAAAGTTCTCAGCTTTCTCTGATTTCTGACCCTTTGTGGGTATTCATGTTTTATACAAACACACAAATCTAATCATAGGACTCGCTTCCCCAGCTAATAAACAGGGCACTGGTGATTGTGATGGTATAATATAATGCAAGAAACACTGTGGTAAGAAAAGGCTTTGTTCGATGCTTAGAATTTATGTCAATAACTAAGAAATGTATTTTCTTTAGATTGCAGAAAAAACTGAAATTAAAATAGCACAGTCTCGAGAAGGCTACAGACCCATTGCAAAGCATTCATCTGTATTGTTTTTTAGTATTGCTGATCTGGCTAATATAGACCCAATGTACCAATATTCTCTCAGTTGGTTTGTAAACCTTTATATCAACTCTATTCATGACAGGTGAGCGGTAATTGTGTTCGAGTATTTAGTTTTTCAAAATATGCCTGTTTTAAACCTATTTACAGTTTTAAGTACATTTTTTTCTGAAAATGGTGGTTTTTCTCTTTGTTTGTATATAAACATTTATAATCTGTAAGCCACCGAGATTTGTTTTATGGGGGAAATGGGCAGTATAAAAAATTAATTAAAAATCATTTCAAGTTGTAGATAGATATTTAGTAGCCCCAGAAGTTCATAACAAATCGAGAATTTTTTTCTCCCTCTTTTTCTGTTTTTCTTTTATTTTATAATTACATAAGCCTAGTCAGGTGTACATATTGTCGATATTGCAATGTGTTCAAGTTAAATCAATATATAAATATGTATCTTTTTATTTATTGGGTATGCACTTTCTAAATATGTTTTTCTATTTTTAATAGCAACAAGTCTAAAATTTTGGAAAAAAGGCTACGATATCTAAACGACCATTTCACATACAACTTGTATTGCAATGTTTGTCGCTCCCTGTTTGAAAAGGATAAGTTGCTGTTTTCATTTTTACTCTGCTGTAATCTTCTGATGTAAGAGGCTCTAGAATTTTTAATATATTAAGAGAATGTTGATTATTTATCTCATAGCATCTTAAATATTAGGAAATGTTGTATTTCTAGTAGTAGCATGTTTGCACTTGCAAATCACAGATGCAAAGAAGGTGTTAAAATGCTTCTGCATACCAGAACAAATTGAATTGGAATTCAATTAAGCTGGGGTTTAATAATTCAGTCCCATTAAATATTTTTTGAAATATACCATTTATCCAAATATTTTTTGTTTGCTCTACTTTCTTCTACCTTCTATAGCTCATGTAGATTTTCAGTGTTGCCTCATTAGTTTTTCTCTTAAGAATCTTTGCTGGGATTCTTGGGTTTTCCAGCCCACTATTGCTATTGCAGGATCACACTCAAACCCTGCAAACACATTGACCTAAATATGCCATGCAGTTCTTGCACAAGTCAGTCTTGTCACATAGAGGACTCCAGCACGGTATTTGGATGTGTTTTCCATGAAGTCTTCATTAATAAAGGATCTCTAATCACTTAAGATAATGGTAAAATGTCTGTGGGGTTCTCTGTCATCCAGATCATGGTTGTCCCAAAGGTGTTTTTTTTTTTTTTTTTGAATGGCAACTGGACTTTCTTGATTTTTCTTGAAGACCTTTTGCTTCTCCTCCAAGAAGTGTCTTCAATTCTAATTAACTGGTGGGAAAGGAAGGATTTATACTCTTTTCAGTTATCCAGTCATTAGCACTTTGGCAGTCATTGAAGCCACCTGGGAATTAATGATACAAATAGTCCTCAACTTACAACCACAATTGAGCCCAAAATTTCTGTTGCTAAGTGAAACATTGTTAAGTGAATTTGCCCCATTTTATGACCTTCCTTGCCACAGTTGTTAAGTGAATCACTGCAGTTGTTAAATTAGTAACAGTTGTTAAGTAAATCTGGCTACCCCATTGACTTTGCTTGTCAGAAGGTTGCAAAGGGTGATCACGTGACCCTGGGACAGTGTGACCTTCATAAATATGAACCAATTGCTAAGCATCCAAATTTTGATCATGTGGCCATGGGGATAGATACTACAACAGTTATGTGTGAAAAACAGTCATAAGTCATTTTTT